ATTTTTAATAAATTTTGAATTTGAATTTGAATTTGTGTCCAAAAAAAGAAGGGCCCAGTACACATGGGAATATCGAAAACCGTAGTTTATACGCAGTTGGCCATATAATAACACGGCGCATTCAATTTTGATTAAAAATTCGGTTTATTATTAATTAAAAAATCAAAAACAACCCGAAATTTTCGAATTTCGATTATTTTAATTTTTGAACAGCAACTTGAGATCAGCAAGAGAAACACGTTAACAGTTTTATGCTCCGACGTTTCGCCTCCAAGAAACTATTATCTACTTTGGTTTTTCTAATACGGCTTTGTCTGTTTCATTCTGAATTCAACTATGTTTTGGTAATTGGGAAAACTATTGTGAACATTTTTGCGTTTAGAGTTAAAAATGTTGCAGGCTAAATTAAGTATCCGGAAAGGAAACAGCCAGAAAAACGAAGCATTCAGCAAGTTAGTAACTAATCTCAAATAGTACGGTACTTTTAAAAAGCCAGTTAGGTACCTGAAAAGCTTGGAGTTTCAACTCAAAAAGGAAATTTGGGTATCCCCAAATTAACAGCACATTTCTCATGGTACACTTAGTGGCGGCGCCAGCTTTATTTTCCGCTTGGGCGAAAGTCGGCGGAAAATTTTTCAAGATGAGCAGGAGATATTTATATTTTTAATTGTAAGAGTTGGATATAATATATCGGTTTTACAAAATGTTTTGTTTTCTTCTTTGGTCGAATATAATCTAAAATATTTTTTAGTTATTTTTGTTTAACATACAAGCGTTGCAAAGATTCATTTTTAGTAAGACATGTTTTTATCCACCAAGGAGCTAACAGAGTTTTAGAATACTTTGAGTGTCCCAATATAAATTAACAATGCAAAAATTATACGAGATTTTATCCACGCTGAATGAAATTCCCTACAAAACTATTATAAACGAATCTATTTTTTAAATTTAATAATTTCTTTTACTAAACGAAAGTAGATTTGAAAAATTTAAATTAACGAAAAACAGTATAAACAGTGAATAAAGCTTTAATAAAGTAGTGAAATAATTCAATAATTAAATAGTTATTAACGCAGAAAATTAGAAGAGGCACTCTTCTATTATTATGCGTAGCAGCAAACGAATCTATAATTAACACGAAATCAATTTTTTGCAATATATTTTTCCTGACTCATAGTAGATATTAAATAATTTTTAATTCTCTTCAAAGTGCTGAAACTTCTTTCAAACTTGCACTGGATGATTGTACTATCATTGGAATATTCCATAATTTATTCATTTCATGGAAAACTAAACTCAAATCTTTTCAAAGGAGTGCGAGATCTGTTAATGTGTTTATTTTTAGATTATTTGTGATTTCAGTCCTCTTAATGGCATCTGGCAATAACTGTTTCGTTTTCTATTGAAACTATATCACTATGGTAATGTTTTTCTAAAGAAAAATAAGTTCTAAGTTTAAAAAAATGGATTAAATGTACTAAATCAAGTTTTCGTTTTTGCAGCCCTTTTCCAGTTCTTGTAGCCTTCAGTAACAAAACTTAAACTGCGGGTTCCACCTTGTTTGAAGAAAAATCTACAAGGGAAAATGGAATACAGCATCTTTGGGAATGCTGTACTTAATCCAAGGATAGATGATATAATAACTGGACTTAAAATTACGAAGATCACAACCATTCTGTTTTTTGATAAGATCGGTTGCCATGAAAGTTCATGGAGCGATAGAGCCAAGATCACTTATTTTTCCTCTATATGAAAACCTTTGGCTCTTGTCCTAACAGGAAGCAAGTACCCATATTTGCATAAGAAAATAATTTATCAACATTAAAAATGTACTTTTCAATTCCCGAACAACTCGGAATGTTTTCACGTTCACTATCGTTATTGTCGAATTTGATCTGATTTTTTAATTCGCAATTATTAATATCGCTATTAAAAGTGGTTGAGCGCTCGACCAACCTCGCCCACCCTTAGCGCCGCCACTGGAGGCCCGCCAAAGATGAAAAATCTAACTTCTCAAAATGCCCCAAACGCCGTAAATGTGCATAACTGGAAAGCTCGTCATAAGCTCGCATGTAAAATTTTTAATTTTTTGTGGAAAATTTCACAAGTGTGGAGGTCGATGCTTTCGAAAAAATCAAATTCCTCAAAATGCCTCAAACACCGTAAATTTGCATGATTGGTAAGGATAAACGCTCGGGTTTTTGATTGTGAAGTAACAGCACACTTGCAATCTGCAATGAAAGACGTGAGAAAATTGTACCTTTTTTAAAGGCCAAAAATACCCAACAAAAAAAAAATGCTCATAAATATGACGCACTTCCAATCAACCGCCATGGAAAGTATTAGGGGGATTTTTTTGAAAAAACAAGCGGGCACAATTTAGCATTTTAACCCTCACATCTAAATGCAACTGAGACCATTGCCGGACATTCTGCCGATTTCCGTCAGACCATAGTTTGTTAGTAGCTTTCTCCCATGACCATGCAATAGTAACAAATCGAATTGATTAGATAGATATCTACATTAAACAACTTACCCTAGTTTTTCACTTCAGCTTACACAAAACGCGGCTGATTGGTCCACAAATATTTACTGGTTGAGGTTCATTTCAAACTTAATCCTGTTAATACKCGTACAAGGCTTTGATGCGCGTCAATTGATTTCGAAAAATCCGGGTTGAAACTAGTGGAATCGCAAAAAATTGTGCAACCCCTTAACAGCGTTCACAATGGAAAGGTGCTAATASTGTGGTTTAATCTTGTTGCTTGAATTTTTATACATTCCCGGTATTAATTTCAGCAGTTGCACAATTCGATCGAAAAGGAAAAATTTCACTTTTTATTATTTGAAATTGAATGGCAAGTACGCAAACCAGAAAACCGCACTTTGCACAACTATTTGACTAGTTTGAATCTTTGCGCCATAATATTTCACCCCGTAACTCGGACATGCTTTTATAAACTTGTTCACTTTAACTAGTTTCTGCATTCGCACTCTGTAACGCGCATACGTTAAGAGTACCAGACTCAATTAAGAAAACAAAAAATGATCGGAATTAAAAAATCGACAACTACATTGGCTGAACAAAAGGTATTGACTCTTAACAGCAGCAATTCATATCTACTGACTACAATCAAATATAGTTGTTCCATTCAAGCCGTAAATTGTCTCTCGCCTAGATAGCTAAATAAAAATTCCGATAATGGAATAAACTCATTTCCTTCCATGAAGCTCAGAATATGTTTATGTCACGGTCCTGGAATAGTAACGGCGAAAAGCTAGGTGTCTTAATGAGTATGATTGCAACTATTTTAATGATGATTCAATGATCAGCTAGTTTCTGATATAGATTACCTGTGCTAACGTGACATTACCCTTGTAGCCGGATTTTCCAAGGATGCAATTTTCTTTTCACGTATTCCAGCGGTTTTCCTTCCGCTTCACGTAGGCATTTTCAACGACACAGGGAATCATCAATCGGCTTCTAAAATGGGATTCTGGGAAACCTACGCTCACAGTGGAATATTGGAAAAATCGC